TCCTCAATACAGATTTCAATTCTGGACAATAATAAGTTTCAGCATAGGATTTAAACAGTGTTAACAAGTGGGAGAAATAACGGATCTTTACTGAGAATGGTTCTATGTGTTCTTCAACTTCAGTGGAGTTCCAAGCCCTCCTCCTTCCTTTATCCTCCCAGAAAGCCTGCTCCCAGGTGGGAGATTAGATAGGAATTTTGTGCACTTGCTGACCAATCATGAATACGGCAGATCAAAATCTGTAGTTACTTTATCAGCAAATCCCAGAATTGCAAGTAATGAAGAAAAAAAGCTGTGAAGAGGGCCTAGAAACAGTTGTTTTCTGGTTAGCTTTTAGGAGGAAAGTGAGTTTGGTGAGTCCTGAGCTCCAATGATAAGGACTTGGTGCTGGTGAGGATGCAGATGTTGAGTCGTATGACAGCTGTTTCCACTCTGCTGAAAACAGCAGGGGAAGTGGATCCCTGCTGTGTCTGAGCCCCTTATATTCAGGGTGCATCTCATCACAATGGACCGTGTGATTCTGAGAGTGGTTACAATAAAGTGAATTTCTGTCAAAGGGTTGTTTCCCATTGTGTGTTGATGTTTTTTCCTTGGGAAAACTCTCATTGGGAAAATGTCCAATTCTCTTGGACTTTTGTTTCAGAGATGCTGGTGACTAACTTGTTTTATTATAATATCTAATTTTTACTTCAGTGGCCAGATAGCTAACACAGTAGAACCATCTCCTAACCAAAGAAGGGAGATGGGTGCCTTTGGGGAAGAAATTTGATATGTGTTTTCAAATGTACCTTCTTATTGGCGAAGATGAATCTTTTCATTAAGTTGAAAATTTATTTTCTCTTTGGATACTTTTATTTCTGTTCAAAAAATTGTTGTTCAGTGGCAAATAAGTATACGACACTGTTATAACTGTTCTTAATCTGGTTTTGGAGTGGGGATTTGAACTCAAGGCCAGTTGGATTTGGTCTCCACATTGTTTTAGCTTATTCCTTCCCCAAGAGCAAGGGACATTTGGAAATCTGACATTTTACTGGTAGGCTTTATGGCAGCCAACTGAGAAGATAGCCATAGCTTGTCAGCTAAGGTCAGACACTGGAGCACAATGATCTGTTTTGGAGTTACGAGTTTTTTATTTCCCCTTTTATAGACTGAGGGATAAATGTAAGACTTTTTTTTTCCTTCAAAGAATTGGAACAAGCCAATTAAGAAGCACAAAATAGACATAATGAATGGCTAATCTTCCTCTGAATTCAGACATCTCATTTCAACTTTCACATCCACAAAGGTTCTGTGTCTTTGCTTTTACAAACCATGAGAAACTGAGTTTCACTTACCCATTTGAGGGAGACCTGTATGCAGTGCCCCAGCTAACTGATCTTATGATTTGGTTTTCCCTTGCATTCAATGACCTACACTTAATGAATATGTCCTTGTATTTCGTTTTTTAACCAGCATTGCGGGAACGAGGATAGAATAAGTTGCTTTATAAATTGTCATGTTTAGATGAGGTTTTGCTTTTTAGAGGAGCCTCAAGGGTCTTTCCCAGGCTTTAATACTGTCTGTCTAGCTTTGCTCCTTAAATATTAGTTTGTTTTAGAGGAGGTGACATTGGTATAAACTAAGCCCTGTGACAACTATTGGAAATAAGATCAATACTTGGGTTTCTGTAATTGATAGGTTCACGTATACTGTGTGAGATTTTTGTGTATTATAGTGTGTGTGTTTAGCTCTTAGCGGCAGTGTGGCATAGAGGAAAGATCACAAATCTGGGAATTGATGAGCTGTGGAGTTCAGTCCTGGCTCAGTCACTGACTTGTAGTGGGACGTGGATGTGTCTCTTTATCCTTCCGCTCCTCCGTTTTTCTCTCTCTATAACATAAGCAGCTGTGTATAAAAGTTACTTTCTGGCCGGACGCAGTGGCTCACACCTGTAATCCCAGCACTTTGAGAGGCCGAGGCGGGTGGATCACCTGAGGTCAGGAGTTCGAGACCAGCCTGGGCAACATGGTCAAACCTCATCTCTACTAAAAATACAAAAAAAATTAGCCAGGTGTGGTGTCAGGCGCCTGTAGTCCCAGCTACTCGCAAGGCTGAGGCAGGAGAATGGCGTGAACCCAGGAAGCAGAGCTTGTAGTGGGCTGAAATCATGCCACTGCACTCCAGCCTGGACAACAGAGCGAGACTCCATCTCAAAAAAAAAAAAGTTATTTTCTGCCTTGGTAATTCTAGGTGATGTCAGAAATGCTTCTCACCCTCCCATAGTTCTCAGCTATGAAGTGATTTCCAATGCAGCTGGTGTGTACTCAAAATTCAGCAAACACATTTGTTCCATTTTTGTCCCCCTAATTCAGTGTATAACTTTGGAAAGTAGATGCCTTTTTACTCCTGACTGCTTTTTCACTAAGGCAAAGCTGAGCCCAGCAAAGAGGAGTGGTCCTGTGGTCCCTTATGACAGTTGTGTGCCTGGGTACTTCTCAGAAGGATCTGCTGTGGCAGGGCTTGGCACATGAGCCCTGGAGCGTCAGGTGACACTTGCCTTTCTTTTCTTCTGAGTTGCTATTCCTACCTGAGATGCTGGCTGGTTACCAGGCATCAGTAGCTGGTAGAAAATAGAACCATCTTCCATGTTATCAGAAAACCTACATTTCTCTATGGGGCTGACTGCCTTCTTGATATCTACCTTATAGTTTTGGTATAGTCATGAATATTTGAATAATGGTTATACATTTTACAGCTGATATTTGATTGTTTATACAATATGAGTGAGTCTTCATATGTGATTAGTTGGTTTGATTGTCTATAAGCTGAGTACATGCTGTGTGCCAGTACCTGTGCCCTTCAGGAGCTTATGTCTAAGAAAGCGTCCTAGCAGATTGCTGGCACTGAGGTGTTTGTCTCCTCGTTAAAAGTACAGCATCGAAGAAGAAATATGATGGGGACTCCAACTACACGGTGAACCCATTAATCCCTTTTCAGTACAGGGCTTTGTAATACTGGGGCTCTTTACCCTGGAAAAGAGACTCCTATAACTTTAGTGTCTTGGCAACTATGAAATAGTTCTATCATGAGGTGTTGCTTTGGTTTAAAGGCAAAGAAAAACTAAATTCCCGGTTATAATATGAAGTTGTGTTTGAAATCAAGATAGCAATGATGTTTAGATGTGTATTAGGCTTCAATACATGTTGATAGAAGCCTGGGATAATTTTAAACATGAACCTTAAGAGGTGGGTATGGCTTTTAATAGTTACCTCATGGGCTTCTGAGAATGTTTTCCCTTTTATGTTTCTGGTTATAGACAGGCAAGTTAGCTTTGGTGATGCATTTGGGACTCTGTACATAATAATATTGAATATGTACATGTTGGAATTAAGGTGGATTATGACCCTTTCAGAAAGGCTCCCATTTGAAAACATGGTTTTCCATGAATTTCTTTTGAAAGCTATTTAGTGTCAGCAGTAAATAAGGCTTATTATTGCAACCTCATGAGGCTTGTGGTTAGATTCTGGGAGAATGTAAAATAAGTTAGATATGGTCTCTGTCTTCTAGGACTTAACATCTGAAGTGAAAAGAGTAATAGGGATAAATACATCAAAGCCCATGCATATACAAAGACACACACACACATATGCAGCAAGCAGCATGCTTAAGAATGAATGTATGCTTATTTTAAGCGTATGGTTTATCAGGTTTTTTGTTAGGAAGGTTTTATTAGGGAAAGTGGGATTTTTGAAGCGGTTGCTGCTGGAGGAATATGGAAAGTCCTCAGTCCTGAGGTGGAGTGATTTAGATTAGCACACGTGATTCTCGCTCTCTTTTGTAATGCTTCCATCAAGCTGTGGCTTGCCACTCTGCCATGACTTTTCAAGGTGTGGCTTAGTGCATTTACTTATTCTTTAGTCCTTCAGAGGATGAATAATAGCAGTCTTGCTGAACACAAGTTGGCTTTGTGGTTTTGGCTATGAGGGATACTTTTTTTTCTTGCCACAACTGCACAAGCTGCCTTGTCTCAAGAGCACACAGGTTTTCAGCCCTCTGTGTAATCTACCACGTTGGCATGAATAAGCCTTTCCTTTGTGGAGCAGCCACACTCGTGATGTAGATAGAACTGAGGCATTCCCTCCCTATTGTGAACCGTGGAGGCTCATACACACCAGTGTTTCTGGATAGGCACACATACAACCCCTCGCCTCCCCCCACCACACACACACACACACACTTCATATCACAACAAGCCTGTAAATCCTGCCTTAAACAAGTAAGAGTGGGAGGAATCAGTACGAATTATATGCTCTAGATCTCTTGACATTCTCTTGGGTGGAGGATGCAAACTAGATGGCTCCTGTCTTCCCAAATTGCTTTCTTTCTCCCTTCCTTCCTTGAGTATTGTGAAGTACTGTGAAGCAACTTTGGTGAATCGGAGTGATAGCTGATTTCACCCTCACAGTAACTGCCTGGGACAAGAGCACTGCTCTGGCCAGGATAGGATGGGTATGGCCAGGTCTCTTAGTTTTTTGGGTCATGATCTCTTCCTCTCTCCCATGAGCTCCTTTGTTGTAGCTGTGTGGTACTTTCTTATACACAACTGTGTTTCTCCCATTTATTTTAGGAACTGTGTATGGGAATATTTGGGATCTTGCTTTATTTATGTCTGTGAACCGTTTTTCAACTCATGTTGCAGTTTTTCATCTAGGGTTTTATGAAAGAATTTAGCTCTACAGAAAATCATTCGAATGACTGTTTTTTTTTAGTTCTCCCAAGGATGATACATAGCCAGTCTTCTGGATGCATAGGATGGAAAAGAGCTCATTGCCTATAATAGCATATATTAGGGCATTAGGACTTTAATGTCTTATAGAACCTAGGTTGATGAGGGCTGCTTTAGAATGTTTCTGTCATGTTTGTTGAGGAAGAGATCTTGATTCATTTCAGTCAGTATTCCACTAACGATGCTACTTGGTGGTCTCTTCTTACTGTTCAGTATCCAGCTCAGATGTTGCCTTTGATTATTTACTGAAACAGAGGAACTCATCCATTGGGTTATCTTAGTTGCTTCTTCATACCGCTGGTACCACAGGCTGTGTTATCACATTATTAAAATTATTATTCACTTAACAGATGGAGGGAGTGGTTAGAATTATTTGCTCTTGATCTCTTTACTCACTTGGATAGAGGATGCAAACTAGGTGGCTATGTATATGGTAGGCTTTTGTGCAGGCTCTCCAAAAACTTGCCTTACTATATTGTGGTAGGTGGCCTCCCACATTGAATAGAGCTGGCCTGTGTAACCACAGGGTATGATGGAATTGATGGAGTGTGAATTCTGAGACTAGGTCATAAAAGTTCACTGGCTTCTGCTTTGTCTCTTTTGGAGCTGCCATGTTGTGAGGATACTCCAGCAGCTCTGTGGCAAGATCCATAGGACCTCCTGACGACTGCCAGCACCAACTTAACCAACCAAGCGATGAGCCATCTTGAAAGTAGATCCTGCAGCCCTAGTCAAGCCATCAGGTGACTGCAGCCCTGGTTGACACTATCTCATGAAAAACCCAGGGCCAGAGCCACCCACATAAGCTGTTTTTGAATTCCTGATCCTCAGCAACTCTGTAATAAATGTTTATTGTCTTAATCAGCTGAATTTTAGGATAACTTGTTAATCAGCATTTGATAACTAATACATATATTCTTAGACTGTATTACTTGACTCATAATGTTAGTTCACACAATTCATATATGAGTAATTCACAATGACCTAAAAGGCTTTCTGGTAGTTTTGAACACTGTATTTCCACCTAGCCTTTAAAACAAAAATCTACATAGAAATATAATATCTATATAGATATAAACATTCTTAAGTCCTAAGTGAATAATTGAGGGATATTCAATATTCCAATAGCAAGAGAAAGTTATGTTATGTGGCAAGATTTTGTTATCCTGTATTCCATGATACCTTCATATAACCTAAAAAAATGTGTTATAAGATCATAGTCATTATCTCATACTTAACTTCAATTGTGTTATTAGTTTTCAGGAAAGAATGTGCAGTGTTAACATGGATGGGACTAAAAAAAATTTTTTTTTTTCTTCTTTATAATTACCTGCACTTAAAAATATTTTTTTTACAATGAACTTATTACATATTGAGATTTTGAAAAATATTATCAGTAATATTACCAGAGCACATATAAAGAGCTAACTATTGCTTAAATGTTTGTGAAACTTAACACAATACTTTAGAAAAATCACGTTCATTCATTCACATACTCATTCCTTAGTGCCTGCATGTGCAGGGACCTGTGGTGGGTTTTTGCCTTTTTTTTTTTTTTTTTTTTTTAATTGAGACAGAGTCTTGCTCTGTTTCCCAGGCTGGAGTGCAGTGGTGCGATCTCTACTCACTGCAACCTCCACCTCCCAGGTTCAAGCAGTTCTCCTGCCTTAGCCTCATGAGTAGCTGGGACTATGGGTGCATACCATCACGCCTGGCTAATTTTTATATTTTTAGTAGAGACAGAGTTTCACTGTGTTGGCCAGGCTGGTCTCGAACTCCTGATCTCAAGTGATCCTCTTGCCTTGCCCTCCAAAAGTGGGATTACAGGCGTGAGCCACCATGCCCAGCCAGGCTTTTAAGAAGCTTCAGTAACTGTGCTTGATCTCTCCAGGGGGCTGCTTTGTGTGTGAAGTGCTTTAGCACTGGAGTGTGAGAGATCAGTTTCACCCTAGGCTTAGGAGGTAAGGAAGACATCACAGAGAAGGTTCAGTTTGAATTCAGGTTTTGTTTTGTTTTTTTTCTCTGTGTAGGAGCTAAAGATGAAACAGAAGAGGAGCCAACCCAGCTTTTAAACTGTTAAGTTAGTAGAGGGGCTCTGTCCCCAGGAGGGCAAAGAAGTAGGTGGTCAGCACATTCCTCCTTCAGACTCCAGGATCTCTAGTTTAGGTGGATTTTTATAGTATTGCAGAAATAGAATATTTGATTGGAAGGGAAGCAAATCATTTATGCATAGTGTGAACTAACATTATGAGTCAAAAGAAGCTGAAGGATAGCTTTTCGGTAGAAAATCCTACGTTTCGTGACCCTTTCACTTTCAGTGTGAATTTGGCAAAATTGGTATTTTCCTTGCTTGTTATGGGGAAAAGAATTAGAATAAGCACTGTTTTATATTTTAGGATCTTTGTTATAACTAGATCAGCGTGGCATCTTTCCTTTATATCATCTTTAGGAAAAAGCAGTGGCTTCTGTCACCTTCATAGAAATGAGACTGCAGAATGTCAGCAGATTGTACGTGGATTGTCCTCTTCATGAACAGTGTCTCCATTTTTTCACTTGATAGGGTGGGATCATTCCTCTGTTCTACAGTTGTAGAAATTGGAACTCAGATTGAGTGGTTGTCTAAGACCGTAAGGTTGTTTGTGGATTAGAACTTAGGTTGCTGTATCCTTATTTGATTTGTACATGTATATTTTTCTTAATTTTTTTTCTGAGTGTGAACAATTTTTTTTTTTTTGGTATAGAATCTGTGATCTAGCCGGGCGCGGTGGCTTACTCCTGTAATCCCAGCGCTTTGGGAGACCGAGGCAGGTGGATCACCTGAGGTCAGGAGTTCGAGACCAGCCTGGCCAACATGGTGAAACCCCGTCTCTACTAAAAATACAAAAATTAACTGGGCATGGTGGCACATGCCTGTTATCGCAGCTACTCGGGAGGCTGAGACAGGAGAATGGCTTGAACATAGGACACAGAGGTTGCAGTGAGCCGAGATCATGCCTTTGCACTCTAGCCTGGGCGATAGAGCAAGACTCTGTCTCAAAAAAAAAAAAAACAAAAAAAAAACTGTAGTCTAATGGACACTGAATCCTTTGCATTCTTTCTCTGGGATTAGAGAGTTTAATAACAAAAACAGTAACTTGTCAGGTCTTTCATTCTGTCAGTTCAGAGAATTGTCTTAGGTTTGGAAAATACTTGGTCTATACCATGCCTTGTGAGGACACAGTGGCAGTGATGAAATTGCAGCAGTTCACATTTGTTGCAGGCTTCCTTTAAGTGCCAGGCGCCATGCTGATAAGTGCCTTCTTTCATGGGCTACTTGAGAGGGAATGGCAGTCTCCTGACGGTGCTTTTCTGTGTGATCCACAGTCTCTGCCAGCACCTGCTGGATTTGCATTGGCTGCATGTCCGCCTTACTGTGCATTGCTGACAGGCAATTTCCATTTCTACACATTGCGGTACTCTGTTTTAGACAACAGTGGCAGTGCCGGTAGCCCTTTGTACAGATGTGGACATTTGGCACTTGGTAGCTTCGGTGTTAGGGGCAGAGGATTTTGTTCGGAGCCAGCCAGTGTCCTGACATGTCATGGGATGCCCATTCACTGCCTCCTGAAATAGATTCTGTCTGATGCCTGGAGCACCTTCAACTGCCAAGTGTATGGGCTGTGAAAAGCTGGGGGACAGGACTGGGAGGGATGGAGGATGCAGGGGGAGGGTACCAGGTGCAGAACAATGACTTCCAAATTATGTCACGAGCTGCCAGCCACACGAGCGCAGCCTGGCCTCATTACCACATGAAGTGCCACAGAAGGGCCTTTTCATTTTCTCCTTGTGACTGTGTTTTCCACAGTCTTGCTGAGAGGGGTGGGGTGGGCACCCTGCTCACTCCCAGTTAACAATGGAGCACAAAGTCCTGGCAGAAGGAACTTCCCAATGTACCCCGGGGCTATTTTTGATGACAGTGAGTGGCTGTGACTCACTGTAAGTGTGTGCCCTGGCAGATGATGGTTTCCACCCCACCCCCTCCCCTGGAGATGAGCAGGCAGCCTTTGTGCGTTTCCTTGGCCAGCTTCTCCTGCTGCTGCAGTTCACTGATATGTCCACAGCAGCTGGCCCGCAGGCCTGACAGGGCTCTGACAGTGGTTTTTACCATATATGGCCATCAGAGCGCTGTGGCTGTCAGCCGGCCAGGATAATTTCCTTCCTTTGCTTTGATTGGCTGCACGGGTGGCTCAGAGAATGGTGGGATCTGAGAGTGTGTGGTGAAGAGAAGCCACTGAGTCAAGTGCAAAGAACGTTTAACTCTTTCCTGGGTTTGTAGAGCGCGCCCGTCTGTGCTAAGCAGGCCGGCAATTGCTGCCAGCCGAAGCCCTCACTGTGTAAACATGGTAACCCCAGTCTGGGAAAGCTGCTATATCTCTGGTAAAGAAAGGTATCTGAATACACATTACTCTGAAATAAACTGAAGGTGTCATAAACACATTTCTGCAGTCACGGTTTTGCCTAGAAGCCACCTTACAACCACATGTAGCAAATCATCTGCTCCTGCTAAGTTGAGTACCTTTGCCAGTTAGGGATGGGACCTGAGTTGAGTCCGGGGAAGACTGAGCTGAGAGGGCGTGTGATGGAAAACATGTCTGCTTTCTTGGAGGAACAGTGACTTGGGTTTCATTTCTGGCTGGCTGAATTGAGTCTATACTGCAGTCCTCTTGCTTTTGTGAACTGACTGAATCATGGAGCCCAAGGCATTAGCCTTCCACCCCCCAAAAAAGGTTGTAATATTTTTATATTTTTCATCTCCAAGGAGGGTGGATTTTCATTCTGAGGTCTGTGGATTAAACCAGTGCAGAGCTGCAACGGGAAGGGTTAGCCCTGGAGCTCTTCAGCATTCACAGAGCGTTTCAGTAGATCAGTCTCCAGTGTCATTTGCTTACTATGAGGGCTTAGACAACCAGTTTCTCTATTTTCTAATTTGATATTGAACGCTTTAATTTCCCATATTGCATTTACATCTATAGTTCTTTTGCTTTTCAACTTTTGCTTTCCAGCTCAATTTTACTTTAACTAGATTCTGCCTCATCTTGGGTTCCAAGTTTTTATTTGTTCTTAGCCCAGAAGCATCATATGGAATTACTTGTGTGCAATAATGAGCAGAAAGTATTAGGTTTTCACTTTATAAATTCTTTAAGTCAGGAAGTTAGGAAATACAGCTACTCTGGTTGCTATCGCATATTTGGGCAAGATGGAGTAAGGAAATGTTAACTTTTCTGTGTTTTTGCTTTCTGATAATAAAATGTTTGTAGTTTTACAATAACTTCCCTCGGGTTCTTAATTGATTTTAAAATATGGTCTATTCAGTGTTAAACCTAGTTTTTAGAGAGGATCTGCAATGCTGAAATTATTTGTTTGGCATTTTCACTTCTGTCCAAAAAGACTGCTGTTTTTCACTCACAGGCAGGTGAAGTCTCTACAGGCCCATACTCCCTTTCCCCAGCAGCTTTTGTTTCTAGCTTACCTTACCTTACAGGGTAACTCAATCTGAAGGGTTTATTCCAGAGCACCTCCTTTTACCTCAGCGTTGGTGTTTCTGGTTCCCTTAAAGTAAAGCCGCCTCAGAATGTTTTATTCCTGGGCCATGAGCTGTCGCTCTCAGGGACCAGCCTGTGCATAAGTCATATATTGTGTGCGCCCATCTTTTTGGTCTGCTGCTGAGTCTCT